CTCATTTCTGTTTCGTTCATAAGTTTAATTCAATACCGGAGGTCTTGTGTGATGAAGTCGGTCTCTTCTATGAGTACTTTAGTTATCGAATTCTGGGTTTTTCTTCCTTTTTCTGTTTTTGGTATCAGGGAGTTCATTTATGCTGCTATGTTGATTCAATAACAGAGGGATTTTATCTATGATATTTGTTTGTTACTTAATTGTGGGTCTCTTCTTTCTTATGCTGTTTTTGATCTCATGGATTTTCTTTTTATCTGGGATTTAATTTTGCTTATTTTCTTAATCTTTATTTAGTAATTAGTTTCTGGGTCTCAGGGTATGTTGAATTACAATCTTCTAATGCTAGGAAGTCGGGATGAACTGATAATTAGGCTACTGGTACAGAGGCCTCTCTTTGTTTTGTTTGTTTGTTTATTTTCTTAGTTTTTTCAGATGTTGGGATTTGATATTGGGATAGTGATAGACAGAGATCTCTGTTTTGTGGATGATTTGCTGTTTGTATTTTTTGGGTATATAGAAGAGGTGGGCATGTTTGGTTTATGGGCACTTTAGCTTGAGTCACTTAATTCTGGGTTTATTCTTTCTTTCTTTTTTTGAGGGGACCTTTTTATCAGTTCAAATTAATGCAGTGTTTTTTTTTTTGAAGTTTGGATTCCTTTTGGAGGCTTTGCAAATTGCTTCTTCTCTTAATCCTGATTTAAATTCTTTGTTAGTTTTTAAGAATGTTAAATTTCAACATCTTGGCTACTGTATTAAGCTTTGTTTTCTGACTCATCTGCCTTTTTGTAATGGTTGTTTCAGATTTTTGGATTTTGATACTGGGATAGGCAGAGCTCTGTCTCTTCTGTGGAAGATTTATCTGTTTTATAGGGTTGCTTCCAGAGCTGGGAACTCATGGCTAATAGAAGAAATGTCTTACTTGGATTGTAGAAGCAGGAAGGTTAATTGAAAAAAGTAGGAAGATTTCTCACATGCTTTATTGATGGAGAGTTCACCTACCAAGCTGGGCTCCAAAGGTATAATAAACAAGTATGAATTTATAAGGGTCATACTTCAGAGCTTATACACATTAGGGTACAAAAAGTCTGCTGCTTGTCTTGAATCAGAGTCTGGAATTCAGCATAAATCATTGGATTTTCAACTGCTGGAGTCTCAAATACTAAAAGGAAATTGGGAGAATTGTATCAATACTCTAAATGCAATTAAGGATTTGAAGGATGACACAAGATCTTCGGTTTTGTTTCTAGTATTTAAGCAGTGTATTTTCGAGTGTATAAATAGCGGGAATGATTCTTCGGCTTTGGCGGCACTGCATGAACAGGTTCCCTCATTACAAGTGAGCAAAGAGAAGGTTCAAAAACTTGCTTATAGTTTACTTACATTGAAGGAGATAGAGCTGGATAAAATAGAGGATAATATGATCCTTGACCTGCGAAAAAGGTTAGTTATGGAGGTGGAAAAACTGTTGCCTCCACCACTGATGCTGCCAGATAGAAGGTTAGAACACCTGGTTGAAACTGCTCTAACTGCTCAAATTGATTCATGTATATATCGCAATTCATCAGATGATGTCTCACTATATGAGGATCATTGCTGTGGAAAAGATCAGATGCCTACCAAGACCATTCAGGTCTGCATCTTGCTATAGTTTATATGATAAAACGCCATAGATTTTTTCCTTTTTCAGAAAATGTGTTAAGAGAACTGCTGTCTTTCACTTTGAATATGGAAGGTGTTATTTGCTATTAGTTGCCATATTTTCTTCAATGCCAAGTTTTGATACGTTCATTGCATGCAGGATACCTATTATTTGATAACTGTGTCTGTTTATTTACGTAGTTCATTATGATTAGAATAGTTTTGCAATTCTCAGTTAATTGCCATGACATGCTTTAAACCCTATACATCTTATAAACCCTTCTTTTAATTTTTAAATGAAATTGTTTTTATTATCTCTCTTCTAGCCGATTCTTCATTAACATGGAAGAAAGTAGTATGCTACTAGTTATTCCTTTTATATCCCTGACTGTCCATGAGAAATATGCAGTTCTGAGCTGTTTCTTCTAATTTTCCTGCATCTGTTTTCATTATAAGAGGATGTTTGAGGCACATAAAGCCCGTTTCTTTGTTATGACTTGCAGATTCTAACTGACCATAGGGACGAAGTTTGGTTTGTACAATTTTCTAGTAACGGGGAGTACTTAGCTTCTTCATCAAAGGACTGCACTGCCATTATTTGGAAGGTAAAATTTAAGTTTTAGGTAAATTATACATGTTCTGGTGTAAACATGCCCAGATGTGTGTGTTGAGAGATGGTCTGTATTTATGGTTTTCTTCATGTTGTCTGAAATTTAAGTCAGATACATTTTTTTTTTTTCAATCTTGCTGCTGGTGTGAGTATTTCAGGGTGATATCTAACAAATAAAAACAAAAGGATGAGAGCTATATAATGCATATTCAAAATTTGTTCTGTTGCATTATTGAGAGGAATGATAAAAGGTGTCGGTACTGCTAAGCATGAGGCTGTCAAGCTGGATGGATTTGAACCATCAGATGTTGTTAGGTTTTGTTGTAATAACAAATTAGTAAGATAAATGTTTTTTTTCAAAGAATGGAGACTCCAACTTATGTGTTGGCAACTAAAAATGCTAGCCATGATACATGAGTGCTGGATTTGATATTTATTCACAAAAAAGTGCAAGCAGAGTAAGCAGGCCAAAAATAGGATGCCACAGGTTCTTTCTGCTTCTGTGGTACTGCAGCCATTGCCTAATATGTAGGTTCAAGAAGAGAAATCTGGAGATTTCCATGGGTTCTACTGCTTTATTTCCAGTATTTTAAGAGAATATCTCTGAAATTAACTTAGCTAGCATGAATTTAATTGGAGAAAAGAAAGGCTTTTAATTTTGGTTGAAATCATTAACTTGGTCATTCTTATAATGATTTCCTAGGCTTCAGTGAGTGACAAGCATATATTTCTGTGGCAGTCATATGTCTGTCTGCATGTTTATTTATTTATTTTTTCCTTCGCAAATTATATCCAATTACATGCATTCTAATGAGTTGATATCTAATTTTATGGTTTTAATTTGTGTTTTAGTTTAATTGCAGACTTTGAGATGATTCAGTTGTTCCTGTTCCTCTATTTTTGTTTTAGGTTATGGAAGATGGTAAGTTGACATTGAAACACTCTCTCAGAAGTCACCAGAATGCTGTATCCTTCGTGGCATGGAGTCCTGATGACACGAAGTTGCTCACATGTGGAAATGCTGAACTTCTTAAGCTTTGGGACGTTGAAACAGGTGCATGCATGCATACATTTGGGGATGATGGCTTCATTGTCAGCTCATGTGCTTGGTTTCCTGACTCAAAGCGACTTGTATGTGGCAGTTCTGACCCTGAAAAAGGCATCTGCATGTGGGACTGTGATGGGAATGAAGTGAAAGCATGGAGGGGCATGAGGATGCCAAAGGTTTTGGATCTTGCTGTAACGCCAGACGGGGAACAACTTATCAGCATTTTATCTGATAAGGAAATTCGAATATTAAATTTGGGGAAAAAGGCAGAGAGAGTCATCGTGGAGGATCATTCAATCACATCCCTTTCACTTTCCATGGATGGCAAGTTCTTCATTGTCAACCTAAATAGCCAGGAGATCCATTTGTGGGATGTTGCTGGAAAATGGCAAAAACCATTGAAGTATATGGGCCACAAGCAAAACAAGTACGTTATACGATCCTGCTTTGGTGGGCTGAACAGTATGTTTATTGCAAGTGGAAGTGAAAATTCACAGGTAAGCTTATGCATTAGAACATTGAACTGCAAATGGTTTTTGCCTTTTATTGGGAAGCCAATTGAACCTTGAATGATGGATGTTAGCAGGTGTACATCTGGAACCGGCAAAACTCTAAGCCAATTGAGGTTCTGCGTGGCCACTCGATGACCGTAAACTGCGTCAGCTGGAACCCCAAAAGGCCTAAAATGTTGGCATCAGCAAGTGATGATCATACAATCCGCATATGGGGACCAAGCCAAACCGACAAGACGCAATAAGAGAGCTCATTTGAGAAGAAAGAGAATCAATTCAAACACTGTCTATAGCCACCGTTCCTTTCCATTTCATTTATTCATCCGTAAATTTGTTAATTAGTGGCTTCCCCCAGTTTGCCCCGTCGCAATTTTGTTGCAAATAATCCCTTGTAAATATCTACCACTTCAAAATTTCATAGTTAATTTCTGACTTTGATAAGGTGCGTTTTTGGTATTAATCAAAGATTTTATAGACATTTTAACATGTTTTGAGCTGATAACTCCTGTCAAATAGGAATCTTGTTTGATGATATAACGATTCATTTCTTTCTGGAGATATGGATGGATAGCAATGATAGATGTTGGACGTTTTTGATGGTGTCCTTTAATAAAGGAAAAGGAGCAAAATATGGAGATGTATTAGAAAACAAATGATACTTCACCTTCCATATTGAATTGAAGGGAGGTTAACTTGTTGGTCCAGTGTATTGAGATCCCGAGCATCTGCTGGTCCAGTATTGTATCTGAAACCTGGAGAACTTAATTTTTTTTATGGGAAAGCACCTACCTGATAAAGCCTGGAGGAACAAAGGCCTTTTCAGGTGGAAGCGAAGGATTGTTTATTTAAAGACTTGAGTCAGCCACTGCATTATGATATGCTTTGATATTGTCTTGATATTATTTTATATAAGTTGAGCTGCTGACCACTCTAAGGAAACACCTTGGGAGCTGCTGACCACTCTAAGGAAACACCTTGGGGGAGAAAAAATTCTTAGGTGCAATAGAGACACCATGGCAACAATTAAAAAAATTGCCTGTGTTGTGTTACTTGAAAAAACTTGCATGGGTCATCATTACATTAATTCAGAATACCAACTATTGTACTAAAGACTCTTTTCTTGAAGGGATGGAAGCAGTAGTGGTTTATGGCACCCTCACAAAAGTCACGTAATATTAATTTTAAGGGTTTTTTTAAATTTATTTTTAACATATAAATTAAAAGTATTTTTTAAATAAATTTATATAAAAAAATATAAATTTTAGTATTAATATCATGTGAATAAATTTAATTAGATAATTAATAAATTAAATATTATTTTTATTTTTAATACACTTAAATTTAAAATTAAGTTAGAAAACCCGTAATTTTAAAAAGATATAAATTTTATCAATCGTATTATTTATAATTAAATTTTATAAAATTTATATAAGATATAAATAAAATAAAATTTAAGAATTAAATTGGTTCTTAAACTTAGAAAAATTTTAGTATTAAAAATTAAAA